GTAACGACCTACTGAACATTCCCTGGGACCTGTAACCCTACTCATCCCTTCCTGGAGCAGAAACCGAACCCCCAGTGCCCCATCTCCTGTGCAGGGTTGTAGCTCCCGGGACGGGTGTTCTCGCCCTCACTATCAGCGACTGTTCCTGTGGGAAGTGCAGCAGCTCCTGGAGGGAGGAGCGGGGCTGCTGCAGAGGGAGGGTGGATGATCCCCCTCTTGTGAGCCCAGGTCTTGCCGGGGGGAGGAAGGGCCTGAACTTGGGTCACCCTGTGCCTGATCCTCTCACGATCGCTGAGCTCTTGCATTAAGGGAAAGCTGTCTCCCTCTCTGCGAAAGGTTTGTGAATCAGTCCTTACTATTCCCATGTTAAACTGACCCAGATTCAGGCTTGCTTCTCTCAAAAACGCATTTCCAAATACAGTTTCCTATCTCTGGCTCTTGCACAAGAGAATGGGGGGGCTGAGGAGCAGTTCCAGCTGCTCTGCCGCAGCTTTCGGAGCTCCAGCTGGGAGAGGGAGCCCGTGCTGGCAGCGCTAGCTGCAGCAGTCTTCAGTTCCGTCTGCTTCGGGTCACCCAGTGAGGACTTTTGTGGTTGGACTAGATGGTCTTCAAGGTCTTTTCCAACCTAGATGGTTCTGGGATTCTGTGACTTTGCCAAAAATCTGTTTAGCTGGGTTGAAAGTGGGGGGAGGAACGGCAGAGTCTTGGCGCTGGCCGTGTGCGCTGCAGGAGGTGCTCGTACGCGCCATCGCCACCCCCCTCCTGGTTTCGGGCCGGGGTTAGGTGCTGTGAAGGTCTGGGGGCAAGAGCTCAGGGCGATGGGGGTGAAGGCAGGGTGCTGAGAGTTTGGGTGGCTGGCGGGATGTTAAGGAACAGGGGAGCTGCAGGATTCTGGGGCTCAGCGAACATGGAGGGGGGTAGGAGCTGGCGGTTTGTGGGGTTGGGTGTGCACGGGGAAAGTTTAAAGCCTCAGGGAGACCGTGGTGTCCTGCTAGACTTTGTGATTCACACTTACCGTGTACCACTGGGGGTACCACACCTGGAGGGCTGTGTCCAGGTTTGGGCACCTCAATCCCAGAGAGATCTGGAGGGGCTGGAGCGAGGGCAGAGGAGGGCAGCGAGGCTGGGGAAGGGCTGGAGAATCAATCCTGTGAGGAGCCAGGGAAGGAGCTGGAAGTGTTCAGGGTGAGGAGGAGGAGGCTGAGGGGAGCCCTCATCCCTCTCTGCAGCTCCTGACAGGACATTGCAGAGAGGCTGGGGCTGGGCTCTGCTCCCAGGGGATCAGGGACAGGACAAGAGGGAACGGCTGGAAACTGCCACAGGGGAGGGTCAGGCTGGGCAGGAGGAGAAAATGTTTCCCAGCAAGAGTGGTGCGAGAGTGGAACAGGCTGCCCAGGGAGGGGGGAGTCCCCATCCCTGGGGGGGTTTCAGGGCCGTTGGGATGAGCTGTGTGAGGGTTGGACTCGCTGATCTCGAGGGGCTTTTCCAACTTTGAATGGTTCGGGGATTCTGTGGGAAACCAAGCTAGACAGTGTTAATAAAACACTTGCAAAGACGCGAGCTAGCGCTGAACACGTGGGGGTGTCTGTAGGAGAGTCCTAAGTAACACCTGAAGCACGCTTTCTGGGGACAGGAGCTCTCTAAACCTGAGCCTTCAGCCGGGATTTTAAGCCTCAGCTTCTTCATGCCTTGCTTGAGACACCTTGAGGGAGATTTTCTGCTGTGAGAACTTGCAGTTCCTGTCAGTTGGGTGATGGGGAGCGAGTCTGCTGCCTGCCTGCGCCCTGCCTGTTCCCTGCTCCCTGCCTGCTCCCTGCTCCTTGCCTGCTCCTTGCCTGCTCCCTGCCTGCTCCCTGCCTGCTCCCTGCCTGCTTCCTGCCTGCTCCCTGCCTGCTCGCCGCAGCATCCCTGCAGGCACTAACTCCGTGTAGGGAGCTCTGGGCACCCAAGTTCCCAAACCAAGGCAGTGTTTCCCTTGCCCGAGAGGATTTTTCCTTCCTGGTGTACAAAAACTGCTTCAGGGGAGAAGCGCAGAGTCTTTTCTCCCCAGATGCTCTGGGGATGTCGCTGCCCATGATGATTCTCCCGGTAAATCACATTTTTCTCTCTCCCGTGCACACCCGGTGGGCCCATCCCAGACGCAGCCTGGCTTTTCGGGCGCAGGTTCAGTGACCGCTCGTCTCTGTCCTCGGAGGATCAGTCCCTCTGGAAATACCCTGGTTTGGTTCTCTTCAATTATATTTTAATTTTTTTTTTTTTGTTTTACCCTCTGCCCTTTTTCTGGACTAAAATACATACACAAATTTTCCAACTTTCTGGCACGGAAAACTAATGAATGTACCTCTCTTCACTGAGTCATCAGCATCTTTACTAACCCCCGGGAAGAGTCTGGTGGGATGAAGAAGAATCACAGTTTGCTGTAGTTCTCACATGCTTTGGGTTTTGCTTTTTAAAAAAATCCAGTTATGAAATCTGGAGGGTTGTTTTCACTCGTTTTTACCCCGGAGGTGGAAATGGAGGATTTGGGCTAGGCCGGGAGGAGGTGGTGACGTTCCCACCCCACTCCCTCCTGCGCCCAGGTGCTCGCAGCCCCTCCGCGGCCGACCCCGCTCCCTCCCCATGGGGGCTGCTGCCAACTGCCGGGCCTTTCCTCCCTCGGCGTCCCAAAATCAGTGGAGGAATGGCGCTGTGATGCTGATCCATCCCCAGTGCCCTGCTGCCGGGGCGGGGGGCCGGCACCCTCAGCCCCCTGGTTTGGGCTGGAAGCCTTCCCCTCGCGAGCGCTGCCCAGCGCCAGCCGTCGCGGGGCGGAGGGGGACGCAGGCCAGGCTTGGGTCTCCCTCGGGATGCTGGGCAGGTTATTTGGCAAATGTTGATGCAATGTGGGCAGGGTCTGGGGGGAGCAAGGGGCTGCGCAAAGCCAGGTCTCAGCCTTTGGGCTTGTGCTCGTCACAGGGCAGCTCGTGCAGAAGGAGAGCGCAAGGGCGTCAGGTGGGTAAACAGGGAGTGGAACACCAGGAAAAAAACCCAACAGACCCCTCAGGGAAAAAAGTGTGGCCCAGGAGGAAAAGAAACCTGTAGCAGAAATGCAGAATTCCCCCAGTTAACTCTTGTGCAGCGCTTGGATCCCCGTTAGCCCGCCCGGCCTGAGCCGTGGCCCTGCAGTGGCACGGGAGCAGGGAGCAGCCTCCGGCGCTGCCCACGCTCACGCTCCCCTCACCTCCTCCCGCCAGGTTCTTGCAGTTCCCACGGGAGGAAGGGATTTGAGTTTTTGCCACCTTGACTCCGCATGACTCGATTTCACTTAATATCTGCTCTGCAGCTCTTAAGAGAAAAAAAAAAAAAAAAAGCCTTGAAATAGAAAGTGGATGGTATGAAGAGCTCCAGCGAAGGGTTCGTAGATGGGCGGTGTAGAAAAACAAGAAGTAGCAAACCTGAGTGGTGGGAGCCTGTGAGAGGAGCTGGATGAGCCTCAGGGATGTGGAAACAGCAAAGTTGCCTGAGTTATTCTCACTCGTTCCTTCTTCCCCTTGAAATACGTCCCAGCGGTGGTACCTGAGCTGGTGCTGTCAGATGAGCTGCAGAAGACTCGTGTTTCCTCGCTGTGTGCTTTCACAGCAGAGATTTGCTGGTTCTTCAATTCCCGAAGGAGCTCTTTCGCCATTTCTTAGCTTTCCTGTCTGTTCACCTTTTTAACCCATTTTTACATTTATTTCTTATGCGCATAAGAAATCCCGAACAATCCTGAACACCTTATCTCCTGCAAAAGGAGGAACATCTTGTACGGAAATTCCAGTTTGTGGCTTAAGCGGGACCAGGCTGGCTGTCCGCAGGCTGGCGACGCAGCCCGGGGTCCTTCCTTCCCCTTGTGTGAGGGAAACCGGCGCGCAGAAACCTCTGTGGAGGTGGAGGGGCCTCCCTCTGCCCCTCCAGAGGTGCCCCCCTGGCTCGGGCTCAGCGCCTAAGCTTGGCCCAGCGGTAGTGCAGGCTTGGGACAGAGGGAACTGGCTGAGCTCTCTGGCCTGTGTGGCCAGAAGGATCATTATGATCCTTAAAAGCTGTTAATCAGCTGGTGACAGTGCTCTGGAGGAGTCTCTCTGAACCAAGACGAATTGCAGCAATAGGACTGAGGGGGAACGGGGTTAAACTGACAGAGGGGAGATTTAGATGAGATCTGAGGCAGAAATTGTTCCCTGTGAGGTGGTGAGGCCCTGGCACAGGCTGCCCAGAGAAGCTGTGGCTGCCCCCTCCCTGGAAGGGTTCAAGGCCAGGTTGGACGGGGCTTTGGGCAACCTGGGCTGGTGGAAGGTGGCCCTGCCCGGGGCAGGGGGTGGCACTGGAGGGGCTTTGAGGTCCCTCCCAACCCAAACCCTCCTGTGATTCTTTAAGAGAGAAGAGAGACTTTGCAATTAGAGATAAATATTTTTCAAGCCGAGCGTGTCTGCCATCAGTAAGGTAATTATCAAACAGACCGGTGATAGCCCCTTTGGATCAGAGATGTAATTCAGGTGGGAACTGATGAGGAAAGCCTGTGCTGCCCCAATTAATACCGTAGTTACGTCTGCCCCCGTCCCGGCCGTTCTCCTGGCAGGAGGGTGCCAGGCTGGGCGTTTCTGCAGCGGGACCAGCAGCAGGGCTGGGCGCCAGCACGGAGCTCGCCCTGCCAGCTCTGGGTGCCCGCAGCTGAGCTGATCACCAGAGCCTCCTTTTTTTAGGCTAGAAATAACGCTGCCACGGCATGAGGCGTCTGAACCGTTCGATGTCGGCGTCAGGATGAAATGAATCATGCCCTGAAAATACCGACTTCTTCCCGTTCACTATACAGGGAGCCTGGGTGGTAGCTCTGATGTAGAGCCGATGAATCACGCAGCCCGTCTCTGCTTCGAGCAAGATGATCCGATAAGGTGTTCAGAAAGCACCTATGTCAGAGTTTTTTCACAGGCTGGGCTTTAATCCAGCATGTTAAGCAGCAGCGCCAGCTTAACGCTTCCTCTGCATTTAAAGCAGCGTAACTTCGGGTCGGGCGGGGGGCTGCGGGGGCAGCGGCGCGGCTGCACCGCCCTCAGCCTTCTCCCCTTTCTCTCCTTACAGCTCCGGCCTTGCCCAGCACAGTTCGCCAGCGCCTGGTGGACCCCCAGCACGGCCACGGATCTCAGAGGTTGGTAGAGAGTTACATGCAAGGCCAGAATGAGTTGGGCCAAGCTGCCCCTTTCCGGGCAGGCAGAGTCTCTCTCCGTCGAAAGCTCAGCCTCTCCTCCGGACAGTCTTTCAGTTCCGACCTTCCCGGCACCAACCCACCATCTGCTGCCACCACCGCCTCTTCCACCTCTTGCTCCTCATCCTCCACCACTGCATCTGCTCCTGCTTGCCATGTCCACCCTATCTATTACCATCACACCACCTCCTCTTATTTCCTTCAGATGGACTCCATCCCCGATCTACCCCCTCCTGATGTCACCTCTGGAGTTCGCTGTCGCACTGAGAGCTTTGGGTATATTGCTGTTTCTTTTCTAGCTCCCTCTTGCCTGCTGTGTCTCAGAGCTGACGCTTGCTGGGGTGCTCTTTCTCCTAGATTCTTCGTGCCCTTTCCTTTTGGGTCCTTATTTCATGATTTATCCACGTGTTTGTTTCTTCAACCGCTCTCCCGTGCCAGTGGGCTCTCTAAGGAGTCTCCACGGTCCATCCCCATATCTGCGAACTCAGTGGGTGCAGAAACCATGGAGGTGCTGCTGTTTAACTGTAGCTGAGCAAACGGGCACTCGGGGCCCTCGGTTATCGCTAAAAAAGAGTCTTTCGCTTGGGTGATGCACCTGTGAGAACAAAGGTAACACCTAATCAGACAAACACTGACCTTATTTGAAGCCTTGCCTCAGTTGGGGTCTTCACGAGCGAATTGCAAAGGAAACACGATGGGGTAGGAGGTGCTGCGAGACAGTTGGCGCTGCCGGAGGGTTTGAGATTCGTGCTGGCTTTAAGAGGTGGCCAAAAGCAGCGTTCAGGGCTTTTGTGTTTCAGAGTGACTCTGCTGGTGGTTTGGCAGGGGCTGAGGCTTGGGTGAGTTCTGGCTAAGGAACGTCTGAATGAGAAGAGGGAGTTGGAGCTTCTTATGGCTCGAGCTTCTTACGATGCTTGAGGTAAACCCCCGGCTGAGGGGCGGGGGGGGCATCTCCGTGGGCTGTAGCTGAGGGACGTTGCAGGCGCTGGGTGCGGAGCTGTGGGTGCTGGGGACGGGCTGTCGGGGAGTCCCGTCCTCCTGCCCCGTGGGGGAGCTGCCCCTGGCACGGCCAAGTCATTTCGTCTGTTCTGCGCTTTCTCCTTGGTAAAATTAAAAATAGTCTCCTTATCCTCAGCGTTAGGGAACAGATTTCTGGGAAAAGGCTGGAAGTCTCTCAGTGAGGAGGTCGGGAGGGGCAGTGTCCTTTCACATTTATTTACCGAGGCAGGACAGGATTCCAGGTCACCACATCTTGTCCGGTCCCGGCACGCTGCACTGTTACTCCTTTACTGGCAGGGCGCAGGTTCCCTCCTGACAGCATTTACACAGTGTCCGTCCTGTGTCAAAGCCGGGCTTTGCTGGGCCCGAGCACACCGTGCCCAGGCACGTATAGAGCCGGAGCAGCCCCGGGCAGGTCGGGGCTCCCGCAGTATCGGGGCAGGGCGATGTTACTGCTCCTGCTCCACAGTGGGCAGTGAAAGAGCAACGTCTGGGTTCATTTAGTCCTATTTGTTTGGGGATTACGAGAAGCAGCGTAATTAAGATTAATTAGTGCCAGTCTGAGTTCAGCTGCAGCTGTCCCGGTTTGACTGATAAAAGCTGGGAATGCTTCTGGTAACATCACGCAGTCCTGGTTCACCTTTGGCCTTCCCGTCCCTGCAGGAAGGAGGGCTTGTCCTGGCCCCTCGGAGGCTGCAGCGCTCTCTCAAAAATTCCTGTATAAACGTGATGGGTTTTTTCAGCCCAGGCCTGTGGTACGCTTAATTGCTGAGCAGGTTAAAGTCTCCATCCCGTGAGCAGCAGAGGGAAATGGGGGGGGACTTGGGGATCCCGACTAGGAAAGGCAACAGTGCTGCGTTAGGAGAGAATAACCAGGGGCTCCCCCTTGTTCCCCGTGGGTGCTTAGTCCCTCCTCAGCACCCAGCGGCGGGTCCGACCGCTTTCTCCCCGTTCCCACAGCACGGGCCTCCTGTGGGTGCAGGATAAAGTGATTTAGCGTTGGAGTTTTGCGGAGGAAGAACTTCCCACCTAAGATTTGCTTCAGCTACACAATAGCAGACGACTCCAAAATCCATGCTCATCCATTCTCTGTTCATTTCAGAAAACAGAAATGAAGAATCGGGTGCCCACCTCTGTCCTGATTTTGTCGCTTTTTAATTATTTTTTTTTGGTGTCAAACTGCATCACAAGCAGATCCTGCTTCGATGCGTCTCTAAAAGCACGGCCGCAGCACACGCCAATGGATTGCTCTTTCTCTTTTATATAACCAGCCGTGGAGGCCTTGACACACATCCCTCGCGCTCCACAGCCTCCCAGAGAGGCAAACAGAACAGATGGGGAAGCCGAGGCTGAGACGGGCCTTCCAGGGAGTCACTGCCAAGGATGAAAGCGGAACCCAAAAAAATTCCTGGCTTCCTTGGTGGGAGGCGAGCGCTGCCTTGAGTGCTTTGGGCTGCCGGTCGCTGTAGCCTCTCTCGTATCCGGCCAATGCTGGCGAGACCTTGCGAGAGAAATCGTCTCAAACAAGTTGTTCCCCCCCGCCCCGCTGCCCCCGAGAAGGGCTCGGGGGTCGCTTCCCTCCCTGCGAGCTGTGTGTGGTGCTAAAGGCTGCTGGGGGTGACCTGGTAGGGACCTTCTCTCCGGGCAAGGCCAGCGCGTGGCCGGGGAATCGCTTTCGTGAACTCCTCACTGTTTGCTTCTCTTTTGCAATTGGCTTCAGAGGATCCGGTGCAGATAAGGTCAGAGCTGGTGTGGTGGCGAAGGCTGCTGTGTGTCTGTGGGCGTTCACGAAGGGCTGGCCCTGGGCGGGGAGAGGGGCTGGAGGCTGCTCTGTGCACAGAGGTTTCTGCTGCCAGTGCCTGCTTCAGGTGGCACCCGTGGATAAACCCGACGGAGGTGGGAGCGTAGGACCAAACCCCCGCCCTGGCGACCCTCTTCCAACGGGGAAGGGACGTGGCAGCCGTAGCAAGAGCCGAGAGTCAGTCACCCAGTGAAAAGAGCGATTCGCAGCCCCTAGAGTGGGAGGGAAGGACTTGCAGTCGGATTCGCATCGCAGTGGCTGTGTCGCAGCCTCTGCCTGTGCCGGGCCAAGCGCGGCGGAATAACAGCCCTGGGGCAGGTTTGGTTCTGCCTGGGGGGAAGCCCGTGCCGCGGTGCCACGCACCAGCTCGGGATTTAGTGGACGGCCTCAGGGCCGCGGTGCACTGGGCCAAGGGCAGGGCTGGCAGAGGTGAAGGCTCTGCTCAGCATCAGACAGCCCCGAGCCGCCCCTCCGCCTTCCCAGTGTCCTGGGCTGTGCAGGCAGCAGGAGCCCACCAGGAGAAACCCTCCGGCGGGCTGCAGAGTTGAGGAAAAATATTTCTCCTATATCATCCCCCTGCCCTCTCCCGCCTTTCCCCACCGCTGCTTTCTTTACTCCATGCTTTGCTCTCTGCTTCTCCCGTTTGCCAGCCCAGCCCATTCCCATTTTCTCGCCCTCTCGTTCATGGGGGGGGTTGTATCTCCATGGAGGTTTCCGGGAGGGCCGAGCCGTCGGTCAGTCCCTCTGCACCGCACAGGAGCTCTCTCGTGAGGCCGTCGAGGGCGGCTCTGTCCCGGGCAGCGTTTCCTCTTGAGGATGTGCCGTAGCGAGTCAGGAGCCTCATGAAAACGATCTTGGCAGCCCTTCGGGCTGTGCCTCCCCCCCGTGACCGGCCATACCCTGGCAATGTTCTTTCCTCCCCTCTTGCCTGACGCTGGGCTTGGGAGCGTCCCCTCGTCCTCGCTCTCTCTGCCAAAGCCCGTGTTCATCCGAGGAGTTGTGTCTGCATGGACACAGACATCCCCTGTCCTGCGGGAACCGCCCGAAAGGAGCATTTTGGGCTGTAGAAAGTCCCAGTAAAACTTCCCAGCTGCTGGTGTCCAGTTTGGAAAACCAGGCTGGGAGGTGCCTCTCGGCAGCCGCCCGTGTCCCGGCCCGTCAGCCGGCAGGGTGGGCTCTGGGCTGGAGAGATCGTGAATAAAATGGGTCGGTTTAGCACTGCCAGGATGGTGGAAAAGTGTGTGCTCGCAGGCTGCTCCCCCCGTCAGCCCTCCATCCTGCTCTGGAGGGCAGGCAGGGGAGCTCTGAGAGAAAAAGATGGTCCAAGGGCATCCCCGGGGAACAGCAGCGACAGCGATGCCTGCAATGGGGACGTGACACCCAAACCTACCACCTCGATGCCAGGGACCCCCCGGTCGCGGTGAGAGGAGGTGTCAGGCGCGGGGGAACCTGCCCCGAGCTGCTCCCCGGGGCACGGGACCAGCTGTGGGGGGATCGGGTTCCCCGCGGCTGCACTCGGGGGAGGAAGATCCTCCCGGACCGGAGGATGTTTCTGCATCTGCTGTCGCCAGTTTCTCCCCGCGCTGCCGGAGCTGCGGGTTTGCTTTTGTCTCTTCGGGGTTTAAGAATTGCGCAGGGCCTTGTGAGAAAGGGGGTCCCCGAGCTGATGGGCACTGGCAGATCCCAGTGGGGAGAAACTCGCCCTCTTCATGAATGAGGCAGTTTTGAAGTCGCCTCAATTTAAAGAAAATCTATTTTTTGCTGCATTTGCTACTCTCTCCCTTTTTTAAATTTTTTTTTACTGATTGTCACCCAGATAACTTGTTGTAGAAGAAGAGAAGGGTCTGGGGGTTCTCACTGACCAGCACCTGAACAGGAGCCAGCAGCGTGCCCTGGGGCCGAGAAAGCCAACGGCCTCCTGGCTTGGGTCAGCACTGGTGTGACCAGCAGGAGCAGGGAGGTGACAGTCCCCTGTGCTC